CTTCGCGGATTATTGTTTTCCTTTCGCGGGACTTTCGCCCTCACTTTCGCGCGCCATGTTTGAGATAGTAGTAGTAGTAGTAGTAGTAGTAGTAGTAGTAGTAGTAGTTAGTAGTTAGTAGTTAGTAGTAGTAATAGTAGTAGTAGTAGTAGTAGTAGTAGCAGAAGCAGCAGCAGCAGCAGCAGCAGCAGCAGCAGCAGCAGCAGCAGCAGCAGTAATACCGTTGTGGCAGTAGGGGTAGGAGGAAGAGGAGGAGGTACTAGTACTAGTACTAGTACATGCATGGCATGACAAAGCCCACAAGTAAATGCGGACTTCTGGTATTACTCATGGCGTTATCCGTGTGTCATCATCCACCTGTGCATTGCAGGAGATGTAAAGACCTCGCCTTGAGTCGTGTACTTTTACGTTAGACTCTCCAAAAAGTCGTGATCGAACTACGACAGCGTACGCTCCGGGCAACCTGGCGTGCAAGCCCTACCCAAGCACGACCGGCATCCCGGAACTCACACCACACACTAACGAAAACACGAAAACTGTAGCGGGAAAACCATAGGTGCGCCACTGCCAGCTTTGGCAAAAAGCCGAGGAACGCCAAAACTGGAGTGTTCATCGAACTCTGTGTTCCGGGCAGAGCTGTGGAAAGAAGTCGATTGTAGTCGAAACGCAGAGCGAGAGCCGCGGAATCGCCGGGCGAGCAACCAAAACGTACCAGTACAAGTAAGAACCTATCTGGCCCACCGATCGCGGCACCTACAACGGCCACTGTCTTTCCCCGGCCACTGCATGCCGTACTTTCATTCTGCCACTCGCTCGCGATCGCATGAAACGACACTGTCATCTTGCGTGAGAATCGCTGTGCAGGTTTCATCCGGGAGCTACCCAGATGAAATTTAGCCAGCATGCAGTGGATGTTTTCTGCCTCTGAGAGCAAACCATTCAAGGGTTTCGATGCACTGCAAATTTCTTTCAGCAGCAGGTAGATGCACGACAGTGGTCCCTCAACTGTCAAACACATGGCTGCTTCACGAAAGCCTCTGGCGGCCGACCTCACAAAACGAAACAACTTCCGAATTATTTAAAGCCGTATACATACCGGTTGCATATCCGAGTGCTGTGACCAACAATTGGTTGAAGGTCGTTCCTCGACAGAAGTGCTTCTTCGTCTCCGGCAGCGAACAACGTATAGCCTACCATTGCTCACGAGACATGTGACAAAGCTTCATCCCACCTTGCCTGGTGCAAGAGCCAGGAAGGCAGACAATGAGCAGCCTGTCATCCTTGGTACTCACGCCTGGGGCAACTGTTGAACGCACTTGAGGGCTCCCCACTCGCGGCCACTTCCCCTTTGTTGCTGCCCACCTGAAGCGAAATGTTTAGACTCCCTCTTCCACTCGTGACTGTGAACAGGCAGCCGAATGATGATAAGAAAGCAATGAGTTGTCTAGCTTGTGCTGGGCCTGAATCATCACTGACTGGCATCTTCCTTCAGAGCATAAGACAGACAGCCCTCAGCAACATCCAAGAACGACAAAGCCATTTCACACAAAGCAAAACACGAAGCCATGGGCCCCAGCTTTTGGAGCTGTTCTTCTGACCACACGAACCTGCTAGTGGCTGGGCCACTCACGCTTAAGGATCGTACTGATCGTCGCACAATGCAACGCATAAGTTCTCGTTGCACCAGTACACGGCCGACAATTACTACTGACCACAACGACAATCGTTTCTTCATGTTTGGGTTGGCACCCCCTCTCTACGCTAGCGGGCGAGGTGGAGTCGTCCTTGGAATGCCGATCCATCGTCGAAACTCGAGAACGCTGTGTTTGCTCAGGCATCGCATGCACGCTTCGGCAGCTCATGTGCTTTCACCGGAAGAAGGACGATAAAACTGTCGTGTCTGCGCTGTGCATACTTCGGTGCGGACCACATGCACCCGGACTTGTGCCAAGAACACCCAGCATAATATCGAAACAATTTGAAAAGCTCGGTATGCCTGTGCTCTGGTTTCAACGTTTGTCATGGATGTGTCGGTTATGATGCACTGTTCTGTATTGGACAGCATCGCATACAAATCGCCGTCACAGTGTCGTCGCCGAGCGTCGCGCTCTGCTGGTCCAAGAGATCGAGGAGATTGCTAGCCGATGTGACGAGGCTTGTCTGCTTACAGTCAAATCACCACGGTCCACCACCAGCCGTGTCAGCCAGAGTTGACAGACGATGATGAAGACTGCGAGCTTGCGACATGGAAATATACTATACAGAACATGACCAAACAAGTCCCTGCATTGCGAAAAGTGTTCGTTGTGGTTGGTGTATTTGGTAAGGCTCATTCGCGCATATTCGCGCATATGACAAATCAGGTGACTCGAGGATTTCAGATTTGCAGTGTGGTAGTCATTTATTCAAGCTTGCGCGTGTTGTGTTTCACTTGTTTTTGTCAATGTAGCTGGGGTTTGCTGCGGTATGTGGTTCTGTGGATGGTTCTAATGACAACATGGTTAGAGATATATCTAGCTCATCAGTAACAGTACTGTATTGGCTCTGGGATGGTCGTTGCGGCCATGCTTGCCATGACTCCTTCTTACTGCTCCAACCTCCCCAGTGCTACAAGGCATTCCATTTTCGTAGTGTCTGTACAGAAATGGCCGAATATCTTCATTGTGCTGAGTGCTATCGTGGGCACTCGGGCGCTGCTGCTCAAGCTCCCCCGAACCGCCGCCAAGATGGACAGGAGCACATGACCCTGTCATGTTCGTCCGTGAGAGCCCCAATTCACATGCATTAGAGGACGAAGTGGCAAGAACTCGTCAAACATCTTTGCGTCGGCTCCCCACGAGCGGATCCACATCCCCCACATTGCTGTAGATGCAGTGCCGGAGGAAATCAGCTTTGGCAGGTCCGTGCTCGCCAGTGATGCCGTGAAAGCCATAGACGAAACGCTCACTGGACTACAATAAAGCGCAAACCATCCTGCACGCGAATCCTTCCAGCTTTGAGGAAGATGCACAAACAATTCGCGGATGTGGCCTTTCGGCATTTGTGCTGCTCATATGGGTCACAATGTGCAGCCGAAATTGATCCGGAAAAACCGATCCGAGCGCAGAAATGGAAATGAATTTCTAGCCGGAAATGGAGCAGGATTCCCATGTAATCGTCAGGAGCACGGAAGAAAAACTGAAGCGGAGCAGGAAATAACATAATCATGAAGAGCCGGCATTGACTGAGACCAAAGCGGAATTGTGCAGCAGCGAACAAAATGTACCGATAATGTAAACGGAACAAATCCGAAGACAACCGATGCGAACACAAACAGAAAGCGGAAATGAAGCAGGACGGAACCGATACGAGCACGGAAAAGAAAACGGGAATGTCTGACAGAAATGCATGACTTCCACAAGCAAAGTGAAGCCTTAATGCCTTCTCGACATTTCCGGCTTCATATGTTTCCTGTCCGTGCTCGGCTCGGGTAGCTCCGACATTTCCGTAATTGATGGGACAGCATCGCGGTTGCACGTAGGCCGGAGGTACGTGATCGGGAATGAAAGGTCGGAGAATGTCCGAGTTGCACTTGCTGACCAGGTGTAGGCACTTGTTCTTGCTACTGCGGGTCCGCATCAGGAGCCTCAGCGGGAAGCAGGACATTCTCGCTTCTGCATAGCGTCGCCATTTGTTGTTTTCGTCTCCCCCTCTGTAAGTCCATCCCTGCTTCCCTTTCCCAAAGATGTAATTTGCAAGGCTTTCACAGATCGCACGAGTCCCTTTTGCAATCGCAAAGAGCCTGGTTCGACGCCATCCTTTGGGGACATGCTCCAAAAAATCCACTTCACCAGCTCAGCGGCACAATCTCAAGGAAACCGATCTTCCCGCAAGAATCTGTTGCTCGGGATGTTCTGTGTCAGGGCGCACTCATTGTGTACACGGGCGACTTAATCCTCAAGCCTGCAGTCCGCATCAGTCCGCGACATTGTCAGTCTGTGCACAAACATCTCAGAGGTGGGACCGAAGCCCTCAAAACCTGTGAGGACGCAGCGCCACCTCGCGTTTTCTTTCAAATGAACTTGCTCATACGAAGCTGCACGGCAAGCCAACTTCACTCGGGTTACTTGGACTGCTGTACCGTCAGCTTTTGGGACTCTGTGCTTGCTTGAGCCCCACCCCACTGTTGCAACCCCCCCAACTGAGACGAACCGAGCCGCATCCTCATCAGTAGCTCTTCGCTCTCCGGTTAAGGCCTGTTAAGACAACGCGAACCTGCGACGCCGTGGGGAATGGCGATTGGCCTCTCACGCTGTTCGCCCGCCGGCCCCGCCAACTAGTTTGGCTTGTGGCTTGTCTGATGTTTGGAGTTTATCGGAGTACCGTAACTCGGTCGAGTCTTACGCGTTGTACGTTTTTCCGGCACACTCGTCCACACTTGCGAAAGAGAAAATTGCTACCAACAGTATTGGACTACCGTAAAGATGGGAAATGTACATGCGCGGAACACAGGACATTCTTCGAGACAGCAACTACCAGAGCGCCCCAAACCCCCGCACAAACAGAGAGAGGGAGAGACAGAAGTCCCGAAAAAATCAGATAAGCAGCGATCAAAACCAGCATACTACATCATACTACTGCAGTAAAGCTTATCCCTGTCGAAGATCACTTTTTGAAGCTCTGCTACGTGACAAAACCGCTTAAACGCAAAGTGTACTTGCAATTTGCTCGGCGTTAATTCTTTGATTTCTTGCTTGCCAACTCGATGGTTTCATCAACACCTAGCTTTGTGTTCATGTGAACAAAGTGGTCGAAACATGTTTTTCGCCAGCAAAAAGCAGAAAACAATCAACTATGCATTCGGCAAAAGCTGTGGAAGGCGAACAGACATATTGCCAATCAGAAAACGCAGACCATGTGACAGCGAGGACTTGCCAGTTGGGCCCCGGTTTGCATTTTGGTACAGATGTCTGCTGTTATGGGGCCGTGGCAACCTCTGGTTGTCCAAAACCTTAATTAAAATGTGCATGCTGGAGATTCAAACCCCTTGCAACCTGCTGCGGCATGCTGCAACACGAAATGGGCATCGAGCTGCGCAGATGGTTTCCAGAGTCGTTCTTGGAGAAGGAGTGGTTCAGCCCGGCCCTGCAAATCCACCTGGCCGGCAGCGGACAAGCATCTGGCAAGGGTGTTGCATCTAACATGTCAATGCACATGCAAAGATAACAGCAGACAAACAAACACAAACACAAACACGCACACACACTCGAACTCCAGGCAAACCCTTGCTAGGCAGTTTTCAACAGTGATGTCAACTCAGGTATGAGTTCACGATTCATCTGAGACTTCAAAGAACAAAGCTTTGTCGGAAGTCTCTCAATAGGCTCTGATTCCCTTGCTGTTGCTTACTAAGAACGAATGAAAACCAAGAATCTTGATGCGCACACGGAAGATATCACATGATGGTCACCATATACAGCTCGCAATACAACTATGTCACAAACAATATGCAGGTACGTGGTCAAGGCGTCCCCCGACCATATCCTGATGTGTGACTGGAGCTTCGTTGCACCTGGACAAGCCACACATCCCTGGTGCCCCTGCTGTTACCGAGTGACCATGCCATGCGAAACATCCTGCAAAAGAGCGCTCCCGTTGTAGTTTGGTCTTCCCTCACACGCGCACCTCATGGAGGAAACAACGTATTTCTCTGCATTCCCCTGCTGTTGCTGGGTGATCATGCCATGGCCGCCCATGGCATCGCGAGCTTCTCAATTGCCCAGCAAAAAACTAATGATCTATCCCGCTATCTTAGGGAGTACGGCTACGCTTCCTTTTCTTGATGGGTGAAGTGGAATTGGCTAACTCAGCTTGATTCGCTTGCTCACGGTCTTTTCGAAGGCGTTAACGCAGCCTCTGCCGAGTAACGGGGAACCAATTATTCTGCCACTGAAAAACCGTCAAGTGTCGTCCAGTATGGTTCCGCCATGTTTGTTGCGGGGATCTTGAACGTGATGTAGAGGTTTCCGGCATATTGAAGAAGGTGCGCTAGGAGCAAAGCAGCTGCAGCATTACCGCAACAGACTATGAAACCCTTCATGCTGGCTTGAAATTCAAGTCCCTGCTGTTACTGAGTGATCATGCCATGCGAAAGATCCTGCACAAGAGCACTCCCGTTGTAGTTTGGGTTTCCACTCACACACGCACCTCATTGAGCAAGATGCAATTTTTTTTCAATCACCGCCGCAGTCAAGTCATGTCAATTGGTACCCGCCGAGGATTAACATGATTAACGACACTGCCTCCCGCTGTGACGACTGGGCACTCGTCCAATTTCGTAGCCCCGCGTGATGTAGTAGGTCTTGCACGGGAAAAGGGCACAGCGGGTGTGTTGCATGTAGCCCTGGACGTACGGCATAAATGCTGTGCGTCGGCTGCCGGGTATGTAGGGCGCGGGTACAGGACGAAGTTGTAGACGACTAGGGGCGTAAGCAACTTTTCAATCAGTGCGTGATGCGGTCGATGATCACGAACAACTACCGTGTGGTAGGCTTGCCCGTGACGTTGAGCCATGGTTTCGAAAGCGCCACCCACGATCTGGTTGGATTGCTCTGCAGTTTGCATCTCTCCTTCCATGTCTTGGTCTGTACGCACCACCACCAGCCTCAGGCGGATTTCGTGGTGGAAGTTGAGGATGATTCGGAGGAGGGCTGTGTTGGTGAGCACGTCCTCTGCGATGTGGTTGCTGAGCTCGTCGTCAGATAATATGGATCCGGAGCTCGAAAGGGTTTCGGTTGTTGGCTCCATGGCGGTTATGGTGAATAACACTTTGGACTAAGAAAAGCTACACTCCTTAATCTGAAGCCACACTCATAAGGCAAAATTTGTGACGTACACCAAAACTGCATCAAAGAGCTGGGATCGTTGTGCACACACTGTCTTTTGCGCGGCCTTGCGGAATTTTTCGAACTTCACGTTTGGAAAACTGGTGGAATGCTATGGAATGGTAATCTATGATGCTTCCACTCACGCATTCGCTTGCTGATCAGGAAGCATAGGACTTCAACGGGGGTGAGGTCATCGTCTCGGCTGAATGATCTGCCTGTCTTCCTGTGGCGCTGTGGAGTGTTGGTGTCGATTTTCGTGTCCATGCCTTCGGACATCAAGACTGCTTTGCAGCTGCTCCACGTTGCTGTGTTGAACTTGCCATGTGGGCGAGTAGCGTCGTGTCAGGTCGCAGGCTCGGCCGGCCATGTATGTCTGCAATTTGTACTGACTTTTTGACGATGCTTTCGTTGCAGTGTCTGTTGTGTCGACTCGCCGTCGTTCTCGTCGTAGCTGCGCAAATCTGCAGTCCACACGTGCACCTGTTGACTCGTTGCTAGGAGTGATGTAGTTGAAAACATTCATGAAGATCTCCTCGTGGGTTGGGGCCTCTGTTTCGGTGGAGTCGAAATCTTTGTCCCACGGTAACCATAAATCAGCAGAGCCAAAGATGTTACGGTAAAAGACTAATAATGGGTTCACGTCATTTACCACAGCGAACATGCACAGCATATTGAAATCCGAGAGAGAGGCGCACTGCATCCAGTGTTAAAAATCCTCGACTAAGATGCTGCAAATTACATATAATCAAACCCGAGGGTCCTCAGGTAGCTCTTGTCCTTGTTGGCGATTTCACTTGCGCGCAATGCCGTGTACGCCGAGAGCACGATGCGGTTGGACTTCCAAGGACACGTGCCGTGCTTGGGGAATGGACTGAACTCCACGCCTGGGAGCTTGAGGGTGTTGTTTTTTTTGACAGACAACATGGCAAAGCCATCTTAGCAGACAAACTCAAAAAGCAGCACAACCCCTCGCGGCCCTCGCCCATGCCGCGTCTCGGGAGTGCATCTTCAGATGCAGGCCACATCTACACAACCAACCAGCACCGGAACTAACGAAGTGGAAATCATGCGTACGGTGCACTCCTAAAGGGAGGAGATCAAGCATGGACGATGGGCATGGTTGTCGAGCCAGCTGGGCCCAAGCATGATGTGGGTGTGTTACCCGCAAGTGCTGCATAAACTCGCGCTTGGTGGCAGGTTTCGGCCCGAAAACGCGCGGTGTGGCTAAGAGAGTGACGTCTAAAATGGTGCGGACTCGCGGTATCAGGTGCTTTTGAACTGAGAGCAATCTGTCGTCGGTCCGCCGGTTTATGTCGCCCCAAGTACTATACGTGGCCTGTCTACTGAGCCACTTAGCTCTTTCTTCTGCAGCAGAATCAGCATGGAAATTGGCCGCATGGGCCCAATCCATGTCACTCCCGAATTTTTGGCGCAAGGCATTGAGACTAAGATGGGTATTCACCCAAACAGGACTAACCCTTCTATCGGAGTGCGCCGTAACTTCTAACCAGAGATCAGCGTGCAAAGTGCGGGTCTTCAGACGCTTGAACCTAATGATTTTACGAAAGCCCTTAACAGTAACAAGGGAGTCCAAGCTGACATGAACGTCACCACGGGTACTATCAAGCAGGGCAACAAGGGCCTGAAGTTCAGCTCGGGGGACAGTTTGCTTGTGTCCTTTCAGGAAACCCCCTCGAGTACCCAAGCATTCCCACGTCCCGTCATGGCTCAACCTGACAGCGGAGATTCCCCAACTGCAAAGTCTACAACGCTTATCCCGTGTGTTTGGGCCACCACTGCCGTCAGTGCCATAGCGAAAGCCTTCTTCATCAAGGCAGTCAGCGAGAGCCCACAACCCAGTAGCATGTTGTTCAGTTTCAAGGTTGTTACGGGTAATGGCGCGAAGGTGGGTCCAGGAGTTTGGGGTTATAGTCCTATGCCAAAAGCAGCACTGCTCAGATTTGTGGAGGCTCGCAAGCCAATCTGACGGCGGTCGCTTATGCTGCTTGTTCAGAACGGGGCAGGTCCAAAGCAGGTGGTGTAATGACGGCACCTCGCATTCACACCACGGGCAAGTGGAAAGCAAATGATTCTCTAAACACGGTATGCTGCCTTGAACCAAGCTGTTAAGAGATCGAATGTCCTTGTAATCCGTGAGGAGCTGCTTTAAATGTTTTCGGCTTGAGGGTGTTGCGTCCTCTATACGAAAGATCTGGTCCTTGTTCTTCCTCGAACCACCGTGGAATCCACACTTGTCCTCGCCGAAACGACGTTAGCCTGCCATGTTGTTCTTGTCGGTGTGGGTCTTCATGTGAACGTTGCAAATGAGGGATACGGTTGTAAACGGCGTGTGCGTGCATGCTCTCACCATGTGTGCCAACCGGGCTGACGTCCACGGGTACTTTTCGGAGTTGGCCCGGAGTCCGATGATGCCGATAAAGCGTGCCTATGGAGAACACTCTGGAAAGCAGGTCTTTCCGGGAGAGGGCCGAGGCTCTGAGGAAATCCGAATTGTGGGACATCCACTCGAATATGTGCATGGGTACACCTGTTCGAATCCTGTTCGACTTCGAGGTGGGAGTTCGGGTGGGTCGACTTCTGCGGCAAGGCCGTGCGGAAGTCTGACTTGTGGCTCATCGATGTCTGAGTCGGTGTCCACGTCAGTGAGGATGTTCTCTTCCTGGTCCCCATCTGCAGTCTGCCGCGTGGTTGCTCGGTTTGGGGCCATGACGGCGGCGCGGCTGTCTCTTGCTTACCTACCCAGCTAAGCGGAATTAAGCCGAAACCAAGGCAAAAACAGAAATTACTTCCCCGGAGACGCGGTGTCAAAGGAGCTCTAAGTTGCATACGCACTTGTTTTGCTGGGCCTCGCTGCGATGCCTTGATATCCAAGACGACGGTACAAGCTGTCCAAGGCGAGGACGGCGATCTCCGGTGGGTATGCCGTGCGCTCGATCAGGTGTTTCCTGCTGCGGTAGCCGCTGAGCCCCAGTCTCACGGATCCTGCTGACTGAGGTAGTCTGTATCTCCATTACTCTGGGTGCAGGTTGTAGGTGATTTGTCTGTTGTCGGCGTTGATGTTGAACCCCAAGAATCTCATCTTCTAGTTGGACTGGCTTTTTGTGAAAGTGTAGCGACGCTAGCTGCTGCATGTGCGGATTGCGTTGTAGTTCTTCCGAGTCGACAAATGACGGCACGATTGTCGACATATCGGCGGCATTGCTCGCGAATTGGCCGTACATGCGTAGCCAGGTGATTTCCGTGGTGACTATGGTGCAGGTTGACAGTATCGGACTGATTTGATTGCCCATTGATGTGCCACAGGTTTGCTGGAACAGTTCTCCAATAGCTGAAAAAGCACAGGCATCTGGCCGGAATGTGCGGTGCCTGTATCTTGACCATGTTGGACTTGACACTGTAAGTGGATTTTTCCCGAGGGATGAGAGCGATGAGGTGCTTGACGAGCCGGTGGGTGAGTCTTGGCTCCTGCGCAAATTGCTCCCGGTGTGCTTGCCATTCGTTTTGAAACAGCTCCTCGAAGTCGTCCAGTATTCGCTGGTCTTTGGGAAACAGGTGGTGCTTCAGGCAAGCTTGGAGTTGATCGATGAACTACTGTTGTAGTCTGCGCTTGGTCGGAAAGCTGTGTTTTTGGACCGTGTCGCTGATGAACTTCTGCAGGTTCCTCTTGAAGCCTTCGTGAGCGAGGAACGGCAGCTTCGGGGGTGTGTTGGGCCTGAGCACCGAGACATGCCTTAACTTCAGGACCAAATGTAGTCTGGCGCGAGCTCTTGAATGCCAGGGCTGCTCCATGCGGTTTGCCAGCCTGTGCAATAGGGTTTGCCACTGCGAAGTTCACGTGACGCATCGTACTCCTGCTTGGTGTCGCTGGAGATTGCGTAGAGCAGCTTCCAGAACTGTGCGTGCTTGCTTGGGGGGAGGACATCGACAAGCTGCATGCGTTTTCCTTGTACAAGGACGTTGAATGTGTGGCTGTTGTCGGATGGGAACTAGACCATGGGCCTTCTTCAAGAGCTCCCTTGTAACGAAGGGGTAATTCAGCTGGGGCTGCCATGTCTGTATGAGACAGTGTTCTTCTGCCCAGGCATCAATATACTCCTGGTGTTGAGAAAGTTGCAAAGTATAGCAAAGTGCTGAAGTGCTCGTAGGTCTGCGAGTCGTGCCAGTAGCGGATGGCGATCTCTGCTTTTGGAAGTTTGAGCTGATGTAATTGTCGTAATTTAGGCAACCCTGTTGTATTCGCGCTTCAGACCACCCATCCCCTGTCTTGGAATAGCTTCCTTGCACAGGTATCCGCGAAAGGCCTGTGGACCGGAGACTCAGCCAAGCACCCTGGCGAAAGCTGGAGCACGCTTGTTCCGAGCAAAAACCGTTTCACTGGACTAATTCCTCAAAATCATTCATTCATAATCTTTGTCCGGAATCCATATCACAAGCACTAGTATCTTCGTTGGCTCTCACCCCAGCAGACTTCGAGAGCCCCCTGCATTTGCAAGCAATTGTCACATGCACTTGCAGACTCCCTTTGTCAGGCTATGCATGCTCACAACAAAACACAAAGAAAGCACACGCACGCACGCACGCACGCACACGTCGCCTTGAGCAATGCACTCTGATAGTGCTGCACATATTCGAGAGGTGGAGGTGCCTGCGATGGAATCGATAATTGTGTCACTCGCATGCACGCTGCTCTGTCGACAAAGGTTGACGAAGTTGACGTGCCTGTGGCATGTACTCCAAGTGGATTACCTTTGGCTGAATGACCTGCAGGGCCTGCAGCTCTGAAGCATTACGAAACATGACTCAGGGCAGATGCAGACCCGACCTGACGCATGAATAAGCAATCAGCATGATCAACATCTACCTTTGTCCAGGAGGCATGAGGAGGCATACAAGCAGCCTTTGCGGAGTAAGCCTGCCTTCAACAGATCTGGTGATGGTGATGCTGTCCTGAGTTAGACTTGTGCAGTCTACATGCTTCCCGGTTCAACATCATTCCGACCGCTGCAACTGCTTTTGACCAGAGACGGCATTTTGCTCAGCTGGTCCGCCAGCATGTCAGTCACGTTGTCCAGTGGCATGAACTGAAGGATCTGCGGAGGGGGCTGCGAGAGTAAGCAAGAGCATGCTGCCATGCCTCTCTCTCTTTGAAAGGCTTTATGCAAGTTGAGGCCACACATACTTTTTCAGCGTCGTCGGTTCCTTCGACCTCGCCGGTTCTCCCCCTCTGTGACCTGTCAAGCAGCTCTCGGCACCGGATGGCATGCAGATTCGCCCTGCAAACAAGCAGGTGACCAGAAGATGCGCGGCTTGCAGTTCGTTGACGTCCGCCGAAGCTTCACAACGTCGCCTGGAAAAGACTGTTACAATCAATCCGTAGCAGCTACCATTTCCAGAAACCGCTCATCAGCCTGACACACACCCTAATGACTTGTGCGTAGAAGCATTCGTGCATGAATGCACAGAGCTTCTGAGCTTCATGCTTTCTGACATCAGTTTAACGGGCTGTCGGAGGAGAAGTCGCTGTGAACAGAAGAAATATCATGGCTTCGTAGATTTGTAGCTTTGCAGTTCCAAACCAACTAGAAAGCAGACGACGAAAACAGCTGCTTGAAGTGCGATGTGCAAGACACATGCATGGTATTGCATGACAGTGTCTATGCCCCTAACTGCTACTATCATCCAAAAGAACCTCTCGATCATCACGTGGCCTTTGTGTTCTGTCGTGGAGTGCATGCTGTTCCTTCGCTGAGGTGACGAGGACTACTCTTTTGTTTTGCTCTCGTGCATGGGGTGTTACTTTGCTGCCGTGGCTGGCTGTGGCTCACTAGGTCATGTTGTGAAAGACAGTGTAACAGCAAAAAGACCACTAGAGCAAAAACAGACACGCTACAGCCGCTACACACGCGTCCATGATGATCCTTGACTTGGTGTCGTCGCGGCCATGAGTCTCCAGTTGATTAAGCTGCCGGTTGCCAGTCCCATCCCCCCCATGTTCCTGGTGGCAGGCGGCGGTCCAAAATGAAAGATGATCAGGGTTTTTTACTATTGCGGCTTCGGGTTTGGGACTTTCGCCATCGTGACAAGTGCTATCCTGACTGAAAGGATGAAAGGCATTATTCTTATTGTTAGTGTTCGGCGGTGCACCATGTTTTTCACGAACAGTCTGCGTGTCCCCGGATGGGCCAAGCAGCCCTGAACTTCGCCCGCTCGCAAAGATAGGATAAGGCGGAGAAGGTGACACCGGTGGCGCCATGGTGGCGCTTTTTTTTCGACAGCTAAAGCACAGGCCGGAGGCCGAGAGATGCCGAGAGTCTCGGCCGAGATGGCTTAGCTTTGCATCAAGGAGTTTCTATGAGTGTTTTTTCGCCGAGTTTTCTGGTGTTTAAGGGGTGGTCTCGGGACGCCAGGCACTGTTGGGACTCGCTGACACGACATGAAAGGATCATCTCGGAAATTGACACCCGCACCTCATCTGTAGAAACAGCTCGAGGTCTTTGATCTCTTGCTGCAGTTCTGAAATTTCACCTTAGCAGCTGCATTGTCCGGGAAACTGCATGGTGACAATGACGAGGTTGACAACAACTCAGCTTGTCGGCGGTCTCGCTGCTGACGTTCACTTCGCTTTTGCTCAGCTTGATCTTCCTGTTGATCCTGTGGTTTGCAAAAGTTTCATGTTCAGCTGCTTCTTGTGCATGATGCTCGGAGCCTCGAAAGCACGCTGCTCCTGGGAGAGGCGCTTGTTGAGCTCTTCCAGCTGGCTCCTTTGACGGTGCGCCTTGGTCCACTTAGAGCTCCTGATGCTCGCATGTTCGGTTTAGCGGAATTCCAGAGTCGAAGACCAGGCTTTCCGCACTTGCTGCATCGTTGATCTGTTTGCTCAAGCTCTCGTTTTCTTCCTGCAGGCTCACCATCAGCCTGGCAAAGACCAACTGCAAGTAGGCTCCGACTTCAGTGTCGCTACAAGAGCTCAATCGCAATTCCGTGCTACTCTTACTGCTGTTATTATGTTATTTCAACTGGTCCGTCGACCCCCAACATATGAGTTTCGCCTTGGACTAGACAGGTTTGCTGCCCGCTTGATTGAAGGCCATGTTTCCTGCAACACCTGAACTGACTGAGATCCAGGTGTAAGCAGATACCACTCTAGGGCACTTGGAACAAAACCAAGTGCAAGGATACGAGGGGATATCTGTGGTTGTCATACGCGTCCGCGTCTTTGGGCTACATGCGATGACACTGGTGAGACTCATGATGATGAAGGAAAGCCCAGCCACGAGATTCTGTTCCAGCTTTGCTTTGATACATGTAGCCACAAGCAAAAGCAAGTCGTGTCTCATCGGTAAAACAACACAACGGCGATCGAACATCCAAGCATATCCAAATGATCGGATGTCATGTGTCCGATACTGGGGGCGGGCTGGGTGGGGAACGCACATCAGGGCGTGGACGTACACATCAACAAGATCTCAATCCCGGGTGTGGACGCTACATGTGGTTTCGGCCTCAACAAAACCTGGCGGAACCTCGCGGTCGCTGATGGTTTCGGCCAGCTTTACTTCTGTATTCAATGCGCTTAGGCAGCGAATCCCGAAGCTGTCACTTGTTTTCCACGTCCGGAGAGTTGCCCGAAGCTCTTGGTCGGCCGAAAACCACAGAGATCCACATACCGAATGTTGATCTGCAAACCCTATGCTGCCCGACACAATTGGAAGCCAGCTACCGAGCATTGACTTTCGAAGGCGGTTTCTGTATGTACGCATGTATGTATGTACCTTTGTATATACTTTATGTTAATATGGTGTATACCTGCGAATAGTAATAGTATCTAGTTACTTTGGGCTGTACATAAGTAAAAGGTAATAAGTAAAAATGACTCTATGCCTATACTATATATATACACATGCATGTACAAACATGTAATGTACGTAGAACAGAAAACGAGAGAGCGAGAGAGACAGAGAGACAGGCGGAAATAAAACTCTGGGGAACAATTTACCACAGGAGTTGGCTGGGCCAGCGGCACTGGTCAGGCTGACCGAGACGCGCCTTTTGCAGAACTTTAGGTAAGCAAACGCCACCTGCAACCGAATCCATCCTGCCATCCATCTGCGAGCCCACGACTCCAACCGGTTTGTTGGAGACGTGCAATCTCCGGTTCCGAAGTGCGAATCCCAAATGTGGCCGCCCAACCGATTGATGTTTGAATGCGTGCCAGATTCGGTTCTGCAATGCATAACCCCAGTGCGGACGCTCAACCGTTCCCTGAACCCTAAACAAAACCCGCACGCATGCAGGCCCACGGGTGAATACAAAAGCCACGTGAGGACGCTCAACCGGCAGATGTTTGGATGCATACCAGGTTGCATGCCAGGCTCGGGCCCAAAACGTAAAACCCCAGTGTGGACAATCAAACAATTGATGTCTGGAAGCATTCCAGGATTCCAGGTTGATGGTTAGATGCATTCCAGATCGGATTCCGAAATGCTTAACTCCAGCGTAGATGGTCAACCGGTAGATGTTTGCGTGCATGCAGCCTCCGTCTCGAAAACTTAATCCCAGTCTGGAAGCTGATCCATGTGTATTCCTCACAGCATGCGGGCTCAACCCCATGACCATGTGCAATTTCAGAATATAGCTTGGCATTCATTTCCTGATGTGGCAGGGGTCTTCAAGGTTTGATGCAACGATATGAACGGGTTTCTTCCACATGGATAATCTGTTAGGATCTGTTAAGTAAAGGCTGTCGGCGTCGTCAAGGAGTTTCGGAATTCAACGCCTTCGGGATGAGGTGAAGGAGAATACAGCTCATCAAACATGTTCGAGACTGTATAAGGCATACTCCATCTTAGTCGAACAATCCTAGCCCAGCCTGTGGACGGAATCTGCCGTTCCTTTTGCAATCGCGACCTGTGCCTTCACAATTTGCACAACAAAGCTGCATCTCTAGAGTCTCTAGAGGTGAGGCTCGCTTAAGCTTGCGGTGAAGCACCCGCAGCCTCCATGTCCTCAATTTCACTGGCCGCGTGCTTCTCAATGTCCTGCCTGTCGAAATCGCTACTGCACCAACGGCAACAGCTGCAGTCTGACAAAAGCCTTGACCCAACATGTTCCTCGCCGATTACGTACAAGATCCTACAAGTCTGGGCTGCAGCTGCGACTACCAACCAGGTCAGTCCTGAGCTCATCGAAATGTTGCCGCTGAGCCTCAAAATCATAAAGGGACGTAGTCTCAGAGGAAGGGCAAATCCACGGCAGAGGGCAGAACAAACTTGGCATTGCAGAGTAAGCCAACATCAGTACCAGTCTCATTTCTTCTTGACACGACGACTCTGTTCAATGCTGTCGTGTAGCGGTCAATTGCGAAGACAGCAAGTTGTTGAACTCCCCCACGATGGCTTCCTAGCAGCTCCGTTGCTCAGTCCTGCTGAAATGGAACGTGGAATCACAAGGTCGGTCACGGGGCCTGTTTTTTCGCTCCAGAAGAAGTGCTCACGGCTGACCTGAGATGCCGGAATTGAATTGTCAACGCAACACAATCAGCAGAAGCCCATGACAGCGGCCGCCTTCAATGAAGGCAAGCTGCGCTCGAGTGAACAGCGCTGCGATCTGCAAGAGCAGCATGTTGTGAGTTTTTGCAGCTGTGTTGAGTACAGTATCAGTTGATCGCAAGTTTGAGAGCGGCCTCTTCTCTGTTCGGCGCTACTATGCGTTGCAACCGGAGGACCCTCAAGATCAGGGACCCCGTCAACCTGCCATAATGGACCCGAGGCCCCATGGGCCGTGAACGCTTCCATGAACTGTGACCCTCATTGCTCGATGTCGGGCTTCGACTGGCCACACGCTGCTCCCAACAGGATATCAGCTGCACTGTTCGCGCCGCGTATCCCAAAGAAACGCTGCGGTGCAGGGGCACCAGCATGCTTTCCCCTCCAGCCTACCGTTAGGATGCCCTGTAATGAAGAGACATATATAGCACAACCTGGTCGGTGCAAGCAGCTGTCAGTGTGATGCTTTTCTCTGGCACCGTGTCCCCCTTTTCCTCCTGACCCCTGCCAAAATCGACTTGAGTGCTCTCAGCACAGTCTTGCGGAGCGCTTGTCTCGCCTGCAGGCTCCACACTGGCACTGTGCTGCGTAGCAGCAGCAATGGAGTTTTCATTTCCTGCGCCTTACTTTCAGGATCGTTGGCTTGACAGCCCCGGACATTCAGACATCTCCACAGTGATAATGCCGACTAATTTGGGCCGCCGAATACTACATGCAATGTCCAGAGTCTAGAGTGTGGGTTTGGTACGTCATGTTCTTCGATCCTTCGTAGGAGGGGAGAAGCCCCGGAACAGATTAAGATCAGCTAGCCGTGCTGACGTAGATTTCGAGACTCTCCCCCAGGTAGGCCGTACCATTAGCTTTTTGCAAACAAGAACTGATGCGAGCCCGGTGTCTGCGCAAAATTAGGCTACAATTATGGCCCTTGCAAATCGTCACGCTGCGTTGCTCAATTACACAAGCATTCAATCTCTCATGCCGCTGCCTTCGATTTATACTGCCAAGCCCAGCCCAGCACCAGCCAAGCCAACCACCTCCCCCCCAGCCAGTAGTCTCCAGCCACCAGTCAGAGTCCCAGTTCTGAGAAGTTCTTCTCCTGTCACTTGGAATAACTCAGTTTCACCAGCACCGGTTCACTTTTCTTCTCTCTATCCACGTCTACGTCACCCTGACATTTTCATGACCGGCGAGCCGACATTTTGGCTATAGGTCTGAGTACGCCTCTTGTCTACAGTATCAGCTCCGCCGTGAATGAGACAACTACAGCGTCGCCTATGAATTCTGTGAGCCACTAGAACAGCTACAAGTTACAAGTAGCAATGCCTACGTCCGACGCGATTTTCATGCTCACTATGGCTACCGTGAGTACGAGGTGAACCGGAAACTTCAGATTTCCTGATCGCCACGACTACTCTGCTCTTCCTGATGTCTGCTGCTCTTTGGTTGATCCAATACGACCCTGCCGCAGCAAGCCTCGCAAATAGCATGGTGTTAGCAAGCAGCAAAAACTGCACCTATGCCAGCAATCAACCCAGTCCGAGCTCAGACCTCCAAAAACAGGTTTCATTCGGAAAACCCTGCCAGCCCAGAGCCCAACGCTGCCCAGCCCCAACCAGCCAACCAACCCAGCCATGTTCTGATAAACCAATTTCAGTTTCGGTGTTGAGCAAGTCAAACCTGGAATTTCGTGCAGAATGTGGCTGCCTTGTCGCAGTCGTCGTCCTCCATGTCTGCCCATCGAAGGCCACCAAAAACAGACTGGGCAGAGATGGCCAAAGACTCGTTGGAATCTTGTGGCACTGAATGCTCTACCATCTTGCCATCTTGATCGTTGTAGAGCAGGCGGTGCACGTATCCATTCCCAGCATAGTCCCAGACATGCTGTGTGTTCACGTCCAGCGCGTATGCGTGAGATGTTGCTTCGAAGTGCTGTTGAGCATGCCCTTGACCCGGATGAGCTGTACAACCAATAAACCCACAAACGAGGCAGATATGCACACCTTCCACTTGCCCACAAACGTCGCAAGACGATGTTTGATATGGATGTTGCTGAAATCGACACACTGGGCACGTGCTGTCACACCAGCGTGACAGGCAACGTGCATGAAACGTATGTCCGCACAGGATTGTCAGCGGTACTCCTCCACCAAGTTCAGTCAGCTGGTATTCTGCGGGGTTCGAGTCCACTGTTTCAAAACAGACAGCGCAATATGAACGCTCATTTCCTGATGAAGTTGGTGTCGGAGACACGATGCCATGCGCTCCAGCTCCAGTTTGAAAGAAAAGCTCTGGTACGTCTGGCTGGGAGCAGGGAGACATCAACGGGGATGATTTCCGCGGAACAGAAGGCAACATCAAAGGCGAAGGCAGCGAGGTTGAACCAGTTGCCAATGAATGAAGTTTGTCATCGACCGACTGCGGCAAAGCAGGCGGCAGCGGCGGCAGCACTGGGGACCGTCGCTTCGCAAGGGCGCAGTTTTCCGCGCTGGGACTTGCGTTCTCCTCTAGGCATCCTGTCTGACTACTCAGCACCGGATGCAGGCTACAAATGCTTGCTTCGATGGCATTGTAGGGTCGTCCATGAAATGAACGGACTAGCCATGACACATCCTCTGGCGACGCCATCCGCAATGCCAAGAGATACTCCTCACTATTGTGACCATGTAAGACCCGACAATGTCTAAACCTCCGGTGTGATTCTGATCCGAAGGCACCGACGAAATCACAGAACTCAGGAGCCGACATATGGCAAGGAACTGATGTCGCTAGGGCCATGCAGGCTTCTGGTCCGGCAGCCGCTGTGCTTGGCTTTGCTCCATGACTTTGGTCCACGTCTGGAAAAGCAGCCACGGTGATATGACCGTGAAAAATCTCGTTGGATGGATTGCCGGCCCAGTACTCGAAAACCAGATCTTCATGTGCATCGGACGACTCGCTGAGCATGGCGGCAAAATGCTACAAAGAACTCAAGGTGGGTATTACTTCCTGCATGCTGCTGCGTGAACGAGCACAACCCACAGGTCGAATCAGCACAACTAATTAGTTCACATGCCTTTGTCTCACGTATCGCAATGCTTGCCTCTGGAGAAATATCCCGATGAAGTCCTCTACGGGCTCTCGTGCCTTTCTTTGTCTTGTCATGTCTTGTCCAATGTGGAGCGCGGGCTAAACGCAAGACGAAGAGATCGGTGAAGGCACTCATCAGCATGACATTGTTGCATCAGGCACGAACACGCTGACAATCATGTTTGGTGTGGCACGGTGGCCACGGGGAGGTGGCTCTGATTCAGGCTTGCAAAACAGGGGCAAGGTCAAGTCACGCATAGCATGCACAACAGAAGGGATAAGTCATATGGAAACTAGGAACCGACGGAGCCCACGCTTATAACTAATTATCAGTGCAAAAAATGCAAACTACAAGGCTGCAGACTGCAGGGCATGCGCACCATGGAAACATCGGATCGATTTCCATATCGATCGCGCAACGACTCGAAGAACCTGGGGCTACAGGATCTGTGGTCAGGTCGCAGCAAGCTACAAGTTCTTGACTTGACCAAGTACGCGGCTTCTGATCTCCTTCTACTAGAACTGCCGAGTAGCCTTGTATAAGTTGCTTGCGCGATTTTGGAAAAATGCTGTGGGTCGGCTGCTCTGCAATCAGCTTACAACTTGCCTTCTGCGGTGAGGCAGTTTGCAGGGTCCGCGTTCCAGTCCTAAAAACAAGATTAGGCAAGCGACCCCAGCATGTCGTATGCAATCTGTGTCCTGGCCTCTTCGGAGCCGCATTCGCCATCGGCAGCTCCAAAATTAACCACGAAGTTCGACATGGCCACCTTCATGTGGCACACCGCAAAAACGAATCTTGCATGCTCTGATGAGGTGCGAATTAACATGGGATACCCCGTGCGTTTTGTAGCTTTGGCAGTCCCATCCGCAAGCTTGGACGGATATCAGCACCATTCCAAGCAACGGTGTTGTGCCGACAGCACGATTTGCAATGTGAGTCCGCAGTTGTTGTGGCTAGCTGCGGCTAGCTAGACGTTGTGGTATTCTGCGACCACGACTGGACAATATTCCTCCTATCACCTACCTCCCTTCACCACAATGCTCCAAATGTTTGAGCCTAACTCGTCGTCGCCTCCTCCGTCAATGCTTGGACATTTGGCTCCAATACAACACCAGGATTAAAGTTTCGTCGCACTTGGCTAGACCCTCTTGCGGAGGACGCGGAGTACTTGGAAGTGCATTTTACGTGGCCTGGCTAGCGGAGTAATTAATGCACCGCAATAAAACTATACTACTATAATGTTCCGGACGGAGGAGTGCGTGGAGGAGTCTACGGGGAGAAGGGGTTTGTGCCCTGTTCAAGAGCGACATACAGAGTGCGACGAACTTTCGTCCTACCGCAGTAGCTGTTGTTCTGATCACTTCGAAATAGCGACCCGCCGGACTCTGCCGACAATTCGGGTGTATGTGTGTGTGTGTGTGTACGGTCTCCATCATGAACTTAAGGGAGTCATGTCCCAAGTGATAGCTGCTTCATGTCACATATGCCATCCGCAGTTGCTTCAATTTTCAGCAGAGACTCGAGGGAGTCATGCCTTGAGTGACCGCAGCTTCAGGTCCTACATGTCGAGCGCAGTTGATCAAATTTTCAGCAGGGGAAGCAAACACCCAGGATCACAAGCACTGGGATCCTTCCCCCCACTGGGGGCTGTCTCAGTGGGGGTGGTGATATACGTGAGTGAACTGCTTTGTTTGTTTGTTGTGTTGTGTGGTTGTTTGTTCCTTGCGGTGTCTGTTTGTTTGAGATTAAACCCAGCCAAGAGTACGCCCAGCTTGCCGATAGTGTGTGCGAGTGCGTCTGTGTGCATGCGTGTTGAAATTTCAGCAGATCGAATGCAACAACCAAGATCAGGGCTTCTGGGGTTTTGGGTTGAGTAAGCCCTAAACCTTAAAGCCATCTTAAACTTAAACCCTACGCCCGTAACCCCAAACTTGGCGGAATCCAGACAGTGTTTTGGGTTCTGGCTTCGTCGGTTGGCCTTTGGTATTGGGGTTCAGGCATAAGTAGCCTAGTGTTCAGGCTTCAATTCAGGGTTTAGGGTTTGACGCAAGGCTGTATTATAACACTATGTGTGCATCGCATCACCCCGCCCTTCTAGAGTCCCTTGTCATATGATCGATATTTCGTGTTTGCTTTACTTTCGGGCTGAGTTCGGGACAAGCCTCTAAACGCACAATGAGTTCGGAAATCTGAACGCGAACATGCCCCTGAATGCAAGTTTGGATAGCTTGGGGACTGCGAAAAAGCACATGGAATGGCGAAGTCACTCACTCACTCGCACGCTCAACAGAGGGAAGTCTACGAGTCTTGCCCGAAATTAATGACACGTACAGCTGGCTTAAAATAGAACTTGAGCAATGCACGCAAGACACATAAAATACGCAGTACTGAGCGCTACTTACTAGTTTGCAATTAGTTATACTTCTCTGCACTACTACTTAAGCAAACTAAGCTCAGACCCTTGACTAGCTCCGCTGCAGAATCGTATGGGGAGACATATCTGCAAACTGAGGGTCCTGCTGGATGTTGAAATGCTCACCATGCTTGCGACAAGTCGCACTGCTTGCGAGCAGCAAATGCCACACACAGTCCTGCATAAAGACCGGTTGTGCCTGAATTCAGTGAAGTACTTGCACGTGCTTGCGCTAGGTCCAAGAAAAACCAACTGAGATGTCGCCTCTGTATGTGATGCGCGCAAACTCCGGCAGTTGCCGAAAAGGAGACATCGATGAGGTCGTGAGAGACTTTGCGCCATAACGAATAAGTTTATGAGCACACGTGTGGCAAACCCGTACGTTGTACTCTCATCGTTGAGGGATGTCGGGAGTCTGCGCCCGTCACCATACACGTCTTCTCTTGAGGCGACACGCCCTCGACACGTCGCGTCGTGAGTCGCGAGTGGCACTTCGATCACTCCTATCTTTGACCTTGGAATCACCTCGGCTACTCTCTGCTTCCAGAAGCCCATTAACATTTCGCCGGTGTGCCTTGAGTAAGCCCAATTTCCTCCGAATGAGACGAAGCTGAGTTGTACAGGCTGTTTCCGGGGAAACGATGCTCGTGCGGTCGTTAGCTGCATTACATGATCGAACTGGTACATTGGCCGGCGAGAGGCTAGAGCCACACCATCCATTTGCCGGATTGTGGTGGCTTGTTTCTGTCGCTCCAACATCCTCTTACACCCCCACAAACAAACACACTCGCTGAGGCTGTCCCGACATCGAGGCGTCAAACCAATCTCTCCATGAATTGAACTGTGCTTGAAAACACATTTAGTAAATTGTACTTAGGCCAATTGGATCAAAGAACTGATGAGAACTGTGAAGCCTTGGCTTGCCGAAGCTTCGTCAGCACGTATGCAACCTGGCAACCATGCAACACTATAAGGGTCAGATCAGCATACACAGTTGTTTTGCACACTTGGCTGATCTTGGCTGCGTGGCATCAGGTCCAATGCTCTGCGTGGTGTCATCGTTCTCCATGGAGCATATACCCCCCGGACTGAAGATGGGTGGATACCTGCAGCTTGAAGGACGTATGCAGCGAGCACATGACTTTTCGAGGCGGAGCTGCACGACCTAGACCCACAAGAATGCGGCATGCAAGGGCACGAGAGTCGTCCCGGTTGGACCGTGCCTCCGCGCTCCAGGACCACCTTCCACAGAAAGGATACAAATTAAGCAACAACAAAAAAACACTTGTAGACATCCGGAGGTGAATACAAGCAGCTTCAAGTATTCGTCATCGGACGAACATCAGTCGGTCCTACCAAGTCAGGGTCGGACGAGTTCAAAAACTAGACGTATCCTGTCGTCACGGCACAGAAATCTCGGATCGCGCAGGGAAGGAACAAAATGAACAAAAGGCGGCCGCAGCGGAAGAAGGAAAAAAGCCGTGTGGGAGAGGCTCAGAGCCACGAGAACCCACTCTGGAACGACGGCAAAAAAGACTAGAGCCAACAAATTGAGGAAAAGATTGCTGTTCTTCTTTGCTCAAATTACGTGGAAACAAAAATTCTGGGCCGTGGAATGCAACAAGGGCATCCGCTTAAATACTTGCACTATGAGGCCAAAAGGTCACGACACTGGATGACAAGGGCGACGCCACGATCCAGCGCAGGAAACGATGAGTTCATGTAGTGGGCCGTTGGAACAACCATCACAAGTATTCAGCTGCCACATGCCTCAGCAGCTGCCGTGGTTTTGCTTTCGCAGCTCATTCCGGTTGGGGCTGCTTGTCAGCGGTTGTAAGCTTGACGTTGCAAGTGGCCATGTTCTATAAATGACCCAAGTAGTTTCTAGGTCACTGGTTAAACAGACTGTGTCTGCAGTTATTCTGATGATCGTCGCGTGAGAACTGGATACAATCAGCGAGGTCCCGCCTTTGCTCTTTCACTGAAGAAATACTCGAAGTTGAATCGAGAGCCTCGCATACTGGAGTGGCAGCGCAAGCTTCAGTGTAACCAGAGCTGGTCATTCGCATCACTCGCTCATCCGGCATGATGTGCTAGCCGTCAGTCAGTGCATGCTTGCTGTTGCCCGACAGCATCGCTGTATGCGCTAACATCAGAACGTTACTTTTGGATGCAGATGTCCTCAGGACACCTCAGGACTATCCTACCCACGCAAATGCCGAAGCACCATCGGCAATGATTATGCGACATGGTAACTGACCATCATGCTTCCTTCCTGGACATGCACTCGCTCAACAAAACACATAATGCTCCCAGAAATCCTCGAAGGCTAATCTGATCATGCAATTGGTATCCCCCTGTGAGAAGCAGCTCCTGTGAGAGGATCGCCCCATAAGGTCATATAAGGTCTGATGTCGAGCGACGACCAAGACGCCTCATACCGAAGTTCAAATGGCGATGACATCTCGCCAGTTCAGCATCGCAAGCTTCTGCTAAAGTCCCGACAAAGCCCATGGAGGCATCACGCTCGAAACCACAAAATGGCCGCGATCCGGCATTTTCATGCCCCAGTGCAACATGTCAGAAGCAATGGATGGATCTTCGTCCAAAGACGGCCAACACTTACAGGGATAGCTCGGGGCTGGAAGTCGCGTTGCGATTTCAAACATCCATTTCACCATGCTAACAGAATGAGGACAGCCATGGAGCAAAGCCAGAAGACCCTGCATTCTGGTATGCCGAGGTACGTAACAAGTAATCAGTACTTCTCAGCTCAGGTAGGCTCCACACCAAAGTTGCCAAGTGCAGGCGGTGCTGCTCTGGGAAAGGCAAGTTCGACAAACCTGTCGGCCGAGCTTGCGCCCGCCCTTCCCAGAAGTCCATGTGCCTGTGCTGAGCTGCTGACTTCTGCAGAGGCGTGGCAATGGCGCGCAGCATAGCTCCACCGTCGCCATGCTGAAACAGTGCCTGCTTGCGTTCAATGCTTTCATGTCGGGACGTTCGCGTCACCGCCACCACGACTTCACTCAGCAAAGACCCAGTGACTGGGTAATAAGGAGCTCCGAACCACAATTCCTGAAACTATTCCTGAAACCTGTGAAAACTTTTTAGGAATTTCACCCCCGCCCCGCCCCAGATCGGGAAGGGGATTGGGTCAATGCTGTACTCCTACGACACCGATTACTGTTGCTCTAATTTTTTCTGTCTCACGCTTTTGCGATTTGTTCACTCGCTTCCTTCGTGAAATGCGAGAGGAGGGGTCTCCCTACACTTGCACGAGCGCGAACCTCGTTTTGGAGGGGGGTATAAGGTTTTCTGGCCACGGACGCGGCGGGCCGTGGGATGCGGGCCGTGGGGGATATAGACTTATTCCCCGCGCTGGCTGGCGCCAGGCGCTGGCACTGGCGCCGGCCGCTGGCGCTGGCGGACAAAGGCTGTATAGAGGGGCCGTGGGATACAAGCGGGACGATGCGGGACGGGGACGCAGGGCGCATCACACAGGATGCGGGCCGCGGCAAACATGGCCGGCAGAAGGGTGGGGGATGGCGTGTACAGGGTCCAGTGCACTACAGAACATGCAAAAGGTCTATATTAACATGTCTTCTATATTGACTGCTATATACTGATACCCTATGCGGCACGCGGACGCGTCACGCATGCTGTGGGCGTGGGGCGCGGGCCGCTGGACGCGAGAGCGGGACGCGGGAAGGGGCAGTCGGGACGCGGAGACGCGACGACGCACGAGAATTAACCTGTTATGTTTTGGAGTGACACTTTCTTTCGTTCCTTCCTTCTGTTGTCGTTTCGTTCTTTCTCTCTTTCTTTTCAACGGGTGTGGGTTGCTGGCCAATCCACCATAATCCACCTAGCCACCCGATTCGCGAACGTGCCGCAATCTGCCCTGTACCAGGGCTTGGGCGCTGCCCTTCACCGCATGCTCGCATTCCAAAACGTCTGATTGCAGGAAGGTCGTCCGGAGGGTTATCCTTCCGGCAGACCCGTGCACGAGCTGAGTCTCCGCTCCCCACAGCTTGCTATTCCATCGGACACGGAGGTGTCATTTCGGTCTTTCTCCCTTTTCAACAGGTGTGGGTTGCTGGCCAATCCACCATAATTCACCTAGCCCCCCGGTTCGCGAACGTCCCGCTGCCCTTCGCCGCATGCTCGTATTCCAAAACGTCTGATTGCAGGAAGGTCGTCCGGAGGCTGGAGCGTCTCTGGGATTTTGTCTTGAAGTGAAATTGGCAATCTGCAGGGTGTCACAGCATGAAAGACTCCACGAAAGAGAAAAGTCGATGATGCTTCGCACGTGGGGGAAACACCAACGGTGACCATGGGAGTAGAGATAGAGGCAGAGAATGATGCAGATACAGATATAGATAAAGATATAGATGTAAATGTAGATGCAGATACAGATGTAAATGTAGATGCAGATACAGATGTAGATGTAGATACAGATACAGATGTAGAGATCGAGATAGACATGCAGAGAAAAAACAGAGGTGCAGAGACATAGACCTAAATAGGTATATAGAAGTATACGAATGTAGAGATATTATACAGATATGGGGATAAAAAGATATAGATACATGGGTAGAGATATAGAGATTTTGAGGTTGCGAGGTATAGAGATGCCAAAGACTAGATAGAAGTAAAGACTTGTAGAGATATAGATATGGATGTTATCTAGATACAGACAATATACTGTAATGTATTGTCTACTCGTCGATAAGACTTTGCTGTATCCTCGTATGCACGCAGAATACATGTATGTTCTGCTACCAAACTTTCAAACCGCGGCCTACATTGCATGCATGCTGAGCTCGCCCAAATCTCCAGAACCAACATGGAGGATCCTCTGTTGCTTCATGTTGTCTTTCCTCGGGATAGCTACAATTGGGGGGACAATAAGCCCAGAAGTTTTTTTTCACACGACGCCTTATGACGCCCTCTCTCCGAAAGTCTTGAGCAAGCTTTTCTTGCGCCAAGGCAACGACAACGAACATTGGATAGCCGATTCGAACTTACACGCTGACTTATGCTGTATACCATACGTGCATTCGACAGAATGACCCTCGATCCCTTCCTTAAACAGCAGATAACAGCTCCAAAAGCCGGCGGAACCAAAACGCCACGAAGCGACCAGGACAGAAAGACAGACAGCCAAGAAGCCAAGCAGCAAGAAACCAAACAGCAACCCCGCGAGGTGAGAAAGCCATCAACCACAGAAGGAACCAGACCAGACCGGCGAAAAAGTATCAAACAGAAGGAAACAACCAGATGATGCCGCCAGAAAGCACCAAAGCAGGATGCCAGCAAGTCCAAAAACAGTCCCAAAGCCACGCGAGCCAAGCCAGAATTTCAAGCAGCAAAGCGAAAAAGCCAGCCCCCCCCTCCCTCCCTCCCTCCCTCCAAAAGGGCCTCGCAAACGTGGTCATCGCCTCCGAGAGAATTCAGTCGACCTGAAGGACCGAAGCACGGTCACAGGACGTCACAGGTGAAGGCAGCTTTGCAAAGGATGCAACGGGCACCTTGAAGGCCATTGATGTACGAACACAGCTCAGCCATGGTCTGCAAGGTGTCCATCGAGCCGAGAAAGAGGAACGACTGGTCTGTGTGCCTGGTCCACCACTCCCTGAGGATAGCAGCCGCTGAACCGCCCCGTACCTCGGTATGGGCACAAAGTGTCTTATCCTCTGATGAACTCCAGGCCTAGAGCGGTCGGCGTGTCTTGTCGTGTGGCCGATCCTTCAAGTTCGCTCGCAGGCACATAGCTCATACCGTGGCTCATCAATGATGCATGCTTCAGATTCTTGGTGACCTCGTGGCTCGTGACTGCTGGAAGCCATACTAAACCATAGGATAAGGCTTCAGGCAGGGTCCAAGATGGCGCGCAGTTGGCCTTCTGTTTCATGCCCTGTCAAGAGCTAAGCCCTAATAATGTGCGGGCCATGGCTGGGCTTGTTTCACGCTCTCTGGAGTTCCAATGCTGACAGCTTAGGTTTAGGAGTCGTCACCATATACTTGTGTGTTGTGCGACTGAGCCGCACGCATGTTATGAGCCTCGGCATCGCAGAAGCGTGCCAACTGCCCCCGGATTATCTGCAACCACAAGAAACACTGATTGAGCTCCCAGCCTGATAGCCTCGATTTTCGAGAGTAGAATCTGCGCCAATCGAGACACCTGCCTCGCAGAAACATAAACTGAAGACCCCACGATGCCATAACCGCCTAGGAAACCAAGACGTTATGCGCTCAGCCATGATAACAAGCCGGAGCTGCTCTCCAACCTGCTCCTGCACAACTGCCAGTACAACCTGGTTCATTCAACAAGCTGGTGGCCCAGAAACCTCAAAACCTTGACAGCGCCGCGCCTTCACCGACAAAGGCACTATCGAGCTTTCCATGTACCTGGAGATAAGTATCATTAAGTATCTTGAATCATTGAAGTGTCAATAAGCCTTCGCGATGCAGAATCAGCTCAGCCACGCCGTGATGTGAACAAGCTCAAGAAGCCTGAGGACTCCTGATGTCTTGTGTGATAAGGAGCTTCTCACACTGTTTCTGGGAACGAGGATTTGTTTTGTCAATTTTATCTGTCATGTTGTATTAGTTGTTTGGTTTGGTTTGTGGTTTTCCGACCGTAGCCTCATGGTCGCAACTTTCGTCTTCGTCTGCATGGGATTCGTTGTTGTTTTTTTTGGGGATTCCAGGCTTCTGAAGCCCTTTAAGCTTTACCTCGTCTTGAACCTGGCGGACCAACTTGTCTGGCCCTTGACCCACTTGCGCCGCGCGATTGGAGCGTCCCCGAGGCATAGATCACTGCCCTCTGGCGGCGTCAGGACTGAAAGTCTGGGGTTGTGGGCATGCCCAAACCTCAATAGCATCAATGCTCAGTTGTGTGTGGTCATCAGAGCATCTTGGCCAAACCTTTAACCCGGTAACTTCCATTCCTAATTGCGTGCGATCACCAGAGCATCTATGCCCAAACCCTAATAACATCAATTCCTAGCGGTGTGCGATCACCACAGCATCCATGCCTAAACCTTAATAACGTCCACGCCTAATTACTTGCGATCACCGAAGCATCCATGCCCAAACCCAAATAATGTTATATCTGTATCACGGGTTCTGAAAAAGGTCCATATGGGTTCTGTGTTTGCTGGAAAGCCGTTATTTGAAGCGAGCCTGTGCGGCGTAAACAAAGCGCGCGGCTCGAGGGGCGGCGCAGCCCCCCCCCCCCCCCC